GGAAAAAAGAAAAAATAAGGAAAAATAAAATAAAATAAAATGATTGCTACAAGTCCCTCCTCAAATCAACCACCACAACACTGACGTTATCGGTGCTGTGTCGCGCCAAAGCCAGTTTGGTCAACAGAATAGAAGCATCGGAGCAGGACTTATCGGAGCTCTGACCGGAATCCGTCACCTTGATGTCATTTCCTGACGACCTAGGCAGCGATGGTGGTTTCCGGGATTGAAGACACATACGCGCCACCCTGCACGCGGTCTCGTTAGATACAACATCCCATAGCCCATCACTCGCCAGAATCAAACACTCATCCTCCGCCATCCGCTCCGTTATGGTCACCTCCGGCTCCGATATCACGTATGGCTTTAAGTAACCATCACCTGAAAAAAAAATCCAAAAATTAATTAGATCCAACTTATAATCATGGAATGACTAGATCTTCACTAGATTGTTTGGTTTTGAGAATTTACCAATGGCACGAGACATTGCTAAGACTCCAAGAACTCTTGCCCCGTCCCAAAATATGACACGGCCGCCGGATTCTTCTATCCGAATAAGCTCATCAGGCCGGTCCGGCTGCATGAAATCAACAATTTCTTAAATTTCACATCAAAATTATCGAACAAAATCACCAATCAGCAATTTTGACTTTAACCCACCTTATGATCTACAGAAAGGGGAATTGCGACACCGTTTCTGCAAAGAACAGCGCGAGAATCACCACAATTGGAAACAATTATCTTCTCCGGGGTAACCACCGCCACGACGGCGGTGGATCCGACGTTGTCAGACCAAGGGGTCTGAAGTCCACACCTGCAATTATAAGTGGCTTCGCCGGACCATTTCGTGACTTCCTGGTCCATCTTCGAAAAACTTCTGAACATTAATTCTTTCCATGATGTCTCACCGGATTTTACCTCGTCTTTTACTATTTCGTGCATCCGGTCCTTGCACTTCATAGCCACCTACAAAAAACCCAGATCAAGTTTAATCCTTAGAGTAAAAACTGAGCTTTTAAGTTAATGATGTATAAATAAAAAAAGATTATATACATGTGAGCAGCCATGGCCGTCGTATACTCCGAAAAAATGTATCCCGCTAGGAATATTATCGCTTTGGCCGCAAAAAGATGGGTGAATTGCAACTGCATCTTCCATATCTCTTCTTCTTCCACAAACAGAAGTCGTGCCAAATTCCGGAAATTCCGTAAAGACATCAGTTTTGATTCTTGTAAACGATGGTGACACAGGTTTTTCCTGCTCCACTTGAAAATTCTCAACCGAGTTTTCGCACTCCCGCTGCAGAGACGCCGCCGGAACAACCACCTCCACCTTTAGCCGCTTCTTTTTGCCGTTCTCCAGCGACGGCGCCACCACGGTGTCGCTGGGTACAATATTGTATTGTTGACATCCCATCCTTTTTCTCCTGGCGGATTTTGAACTTGGCTCAAGGGGTGCAGCAGTCTCACTCTCACCAATTTTTACTCCACAACACATACCAGCCATGATTTTTCCTTAATCCCAAATAAATCTAATCAATCAAACACTTCTTATCGGATCAAAACCTCGTAAATTCAAAGGGAATACTGAAGCCCAGTTCTGAAAACACGGGAAAAAAATAATAAGAGAGCTAAAAGTACAAATTAAGACGAGGTACGAAAATCGGAAGACAAATCAACCAACCACCTTATAGTTGAAAAGGACAGGTAGTGAGGTGGGGAACCGTTGGGTTGATGTGACGTAAAAAGCTGTATGCCAGAGGAAGGAATCTTAACCGTCTAATTTACATCACCCATGATAGAAATGCACCACGTTGTAAGGTAGATTTAATTTTAGTTACGTGGACGAATAAAAACACAACACGCAGCAGGCTGTCTTTTTAGAGGCTCATGTAACAGGTCCCCTCACCTGTTTTGGCCTTTTTATTCTTAACACCACGTGGCAGGATCTTAGTATCCGAGATTCGTGTCGACTAGTAGTATAGAGCGTGGTTACAACTTCTTGAAATTGCTTGATTACATCCTTTCAGATTAAGCCCCCTTTCAAGCCGCTTTAAAATTCTCATTCTCATTTTCTATTCATTTTCGATCACACATTCTTTAATAAAATAATATTTTTCATCACTTCAATATCTTTTCATTTTTTTTCAACCACACATTTTCCATCAATCTACTATTCAAAAATACATTCTTCCAAAATAATTTGATTCAAACACACCCTTAAAAAATTATATTTGAGGGTACATCAGAATCGAGCTATAGAGATATATGTCACATAATCAATCATTTTATAAGATTAAGCCCTCGTTTATTTCTCATTTTTCATCTATAAAAATGAAAAATATGACTGTTGTTCATTACATCAAGCCATCAATTTTGAATTTCTATCTCTTATTTAGGACTCAATAACAACTATATTTTTCATTCTCATTCTATAATAATGAGAATCAAACGGGTCCTAAACATAAATGTCTGCACTATATCAATTTCTTCAATTTTTTTGTACTTACAACTCCTTGTACATTCCTTGAACTCAAAAAAGCTTATCATGCATAATCATAAATATTTACTGATTGAGAAGCTTATCACGTAATATTTCAAAATAGATTGCATAAATATTTTGAATTAAAGGTTTCTTGGCGTGAAATCAAAGTCAACAATTAATTTTAATCACACATTTTTTAGATTCATAACTTTTTAACCACACATTTTATCAATTTTTATCAAAACTTACTAATAATCCGATTTTAATTTTCACCAAACATGGACTTATAGTTAACGCTATGCAGTTTTATCAGCGGCCCTCTTTAATTTTTATTCGCTCAAAGTAAAATTATCCTCCTTTAGCATACCATCAAGAATTCGATAACAGCCCTATCAATGACGAGTTATGCTACATATACAAAGTTGTGTTACAAAGTTGGTTGACAAAATAACATCTACACCAATTATTTTAAAAA